TCTTTTGGTCTCACCTGCACAGAACACCTCAGGGTTTCCTTATTCATTTTCCCTCTCCCCCTCCCTTCTCCCTCCCTCCCTTCCTCTCTTCCTGTCTCCCTCTCTCTTTTGTTCTTTTGGTTTGGTTTTTGGTTGAGACAAAGTCTCACCATGTAGTTCAGACTAACCTTAAACTCACAATGTAGCTCAGATTAGCCTTGAACTCATAGCAATCCTCCTGCCTCAGCCTCCTGAGTGTTGGAATTACAGATAGGCTCCACCATGCCTGGCAACTTTTCGCTTCTCTTGCATGCACTTTGGAGGTGCCCACTTCGTCTTCAGTCAGCTCCGTCACTTTACTCAAGAAATAAACAAACGCTGCACCCGAGAAGCCACAGCAGTGGCACCCCACAGCAGAAGTCAGGAGCAGCCGCATTTTAAATTTGGCCTCCGCAGGATGTTAAAAAGAATAAAATGCACAAAAGAAAAATAAAATCTGGCCTCTGGCTTCTGTGAGAAGAACACGAACACAGCAGGCTGGCCCCGTGCCCACCCTGCGGTGCCTGGCAGAGGTGCTGGGTGGCCAGGTGAGCCGGGGCCTGGAAGGGGGCTCAGCCACCCGAGCCCCCAGCACAAGCGGAGACTCACTTCCTTCTTCGGCCCCCTCCCGCCCGCTTCTCTTGCAGCTCCACTTACACCTCTGGCTACCAAGAAGGGCGCTTTCTGAGCAGTGACGCGGTGACCCTTAGAGCACAGAAGGAAAGGCCCAACGGTGGGGCCCAGGGAGCACGGCGGGAGCCGCAGGGGGCCCGAGCAGTGCCTACCACGGCCCTGAGCCCTAGCCCTGATCGCTGGAACCCATGCCCCGGCAGTGCGGGGCACCACCCGTGCCTGCGGACAGCCTGGGCCCGGGGCCTTCGCAGCCTCAGGCATCTCTAAAACGCTACAGGTGGCCAACCCACGGGCTGCTATTCTTAATGTTACAATAAAATGTTTTTAAAGAACACTTTCCAGGCACAGGGGTGCATGCCTGTAATCTTAGCACTCCAGAGGCTGAGGCAGGAGGATCACTGTGAGCTCAAGGCCAGCCTGGGCAACATAGCAAACCCCTGTCTCCAAAAAATTCAAAAAAAACAAAATTAGCACATTTTGTTACCTACATTCACTACTGTTGCTTTCCATTCAGCCAGACCTAACTCCTCTGCACCCCTTGTGAGCCCCAAGGTCAGGTGCCCAGTGGTCTACACCAGTGGTTGGCGCAGCCATGGCTGTGTCCCTCCACCTCGCCAGGAGGCTGGCTGCAAGCTGACCTGTGAGCAGGTCCCTCAGCAGCCTCCAGTGGTACCCACAGACCCTGCAGAGGACAGTAGGCTGCGCTCTATGGAGCGGCTCGAGGGGCTCTCAGGCAGGGCAGATCCTCAGGGACTCACAGCTGCCCGCCCCCATGATGCCAGCCCAGGGCTTTGTGCCAGGCCGGCCAGGCTGCCCTCAGAGCTGCGGCCCAGACCCTGTCCCAAGTGGGACCCTCATCCCAGGTCTGCCTCCCAGTGGCTCCCCCACATCTGCTGCCTCCTCCTGTGCCCTGCAGCGCATGCTCCCGTTAACCTTGCACTTTGACCTTCATCTGCTTCCCACGTCCCCCACACTAGGGCAGCCTGCACTCCATAATCGGACTTCGGCTGCACTTTGGGGAAAATCAGGCCTGCAGTGCTGTGCTCGGCAGGACGCAAGGCTCTCCCGGCACCTGTGCGTGTCTCGCTAATAAAAAGGACGTTTGTCACTCAGCCAGTCTCTGCCATTAGGCAGAGAAGACAGCCTGATCAGAAATCAATCTGGGAAACTCTCCTGCATCAGCATGCATTATATACAGAGTCTCGAGAAAGCCTGGTGTGGTGTGGTGTGCACACCGTCACCCTGGCCCTCAGCCCACCAGGACCCGTGCCCTGGCGACAGTGCCACCCGCACCCTCCACTCTGCTGGGCACCAGCTGTGCTTGCAGATGGCTCTTGGCCCGGGGAGGTAGAAAGACAGGAAGTTCAAGCCCAGGCTTGGCAACTTAGTGACTTAGGGGGACTCAGTCTCAGAAAAGTAAAACAGGGCTGGGTGTGGGTGGCACACTCCTGTAATCCCAGCACTCAGGAGGCTGAGGCAGGAGGATCATTGCAAGTTCGAGACCAACCTGGGCTACACAGTGAGCTTAAGGCCAGCCTGAACTGCATAGTGAGACCCTGTCTCAAAAAGACAAAAAAACCCACAAAAACAAAAAATAGTAAAATAGGGCTGGGGAGGTAACTCAGTGGGAAGGCCTGGGCTCCATCCACAATTCCTGTAACCCTCAAAAATACCCAGCAAGCTGCGCGGCCCTGCTGAGCCTTCCTGCCTCCATCCGTTTCTCCACCTGTACAGTGGGGGGAGCTGCTCTCCTCAGGGGGCTGCCTTGAACCTTACAGGAGTGAGCATACAAAATACTGCAGAGACGCAACTCTCGGAGTCATTATCATAAAACAATAAGCAAAGCCTAGGTTATAAAGCGGAGGCAGCTTCACGTCAGTGTAGACTTGGAAAATGTTCGGGTCAGCAAAGGGTTTTAAGGAAAAGCAGGAGAGCCTTGCAGGTGACCGGCACAGTGCCCTGCACCTGAGACACCGGCCACAGCAGGGAGACGGCACCCGGGCACAGGGCAGGGCGGAAGCGCGGCCTGTCATGGCGATCATTACAACAACAGCCAGTGACTGCTGTCATTTAATTCAGGTCTCCTGCTGCACCTACTTGCAAAAAGGAATCCAGCTTGGGAGGCTGAGGCAGGAGGATCACTGTGAGTTTGAGGCCAGCCTGGGCTCCATAGGGAGTTCAAGGCCTGCCTGACTGTAGAGCAAGACCCTTTCTCAAAAAACCAAATCAAACAAACAAAAAAGAAAGAAAAGAAATGGAAAAAGAAAAAGAAAGAAAAGAAGGGACCCAGGCGAACTCCATTCACGACACATGGCTCCCCCAGGAGCACCCAGCTTCAGCTCTGAGTCCGAAGTGCCACAGAGTGTGCTGGCCGGAGGGTAGCTCGGTCACGTCCTGAAGGGCACGCACGTGGCTCCCAACTCACTGCCGCTCCCACCTAGGGCCCCGTCTCGCGTGGGGATGACGTGGCAGCGGGGTCCACACTCACAGCCTGTCACGGGCCCGGCTCTGCAGGACACGCTTCAACCAGGGTCACCACCAACCTCCTCCGTCCCCAAACTCTACCCAGACTCGCTGAGGTGACCAGCACAGACGCCATGCTGGGTTTGACAGAGATAATTGGGGCACAGCAGGTTCTTCTAAATAACCAACCCAAGGACAGTGTGAAGGTAAACCTCCACTGCTCTTGCCCAAAATGCAGCATTTTGAAGTAAGTGAGAATCAGTCCCAAAGTTCCGAGGAAGTGGTTTGAGGCATGACGGGTGATCCTAGTCATTTTGCTCCACAGTTCGGCACGGCTCATTTAGAACTCCAGCATTCTTTGGTTAATCAAGAGCAAAACCCCATGAAGTTTCTCAGCAACGCTGATAGAATCCACCCAGCCTTACAGAAAGCTCTCGGCGAGAAGGCCGAGCGGTCAGCACACAGGGAGCGGTCACACGTGGCCCGGCCCAGCCCGTGCCCTGCTCCGTGAGTGTCCAGGAAATCAGAGTTTCCAGAAGGCCGAGAGGGTCAGGCACGTGGCAAGGGGCCCCTGCGTGGTGAGAGGTGTCTCGGGTGGGGATGAGGGCCAACGTCCGGTGTGTTAAAGGCTGCAGACCCTAACCAAGGCCACCACTCAGTGGTGAGTGCACGAGCTGACCAGCGCTAACTTGTAAGGCACACGAACTGGGCCAGTTAACCAGCACTAACCTATCAGGGGTAAACAGGATTGGACCGGTTAACGCCATCCTCCCTGCCAAGCAAAACCAAACCAAACAAACCACAGTACTAGGTCTCTGGCTTTCCCTTTCCCCTATTTATGAAAGGATTCCGATATTTCCTGCCCACTCTAACTTAATCAGGGATAAGATTCGGGGCTTTTCACAGTGGGAGCCTGGGATCTTAGTTTACATCCGGCTGTGCGGAGGTGTGACGTCACCCGGACAGGTAAGTCAAGCTCTCCGTCTCCTCAGAGCGATTTCCCACAAAGCCCAAGTAGGGAGGGAGACGGTGCAACACAGGACAGACGCCGGCAAACACCCACCCCCGAGGAGCCCCAGAGCAGAAGGACGCGCGCCTGAGCAGATCCTCTCCAGGACGCTCCTTTCCCACCTTCAGAATAAAACCACTGTTTTCCACCGGCTTCCCGGCCCTGCCACAGACACCGTGCACGGGACAGGGCGGCCCCTGGGCCACTGCGGGCACCCTGGAGGCAGGACACTACCCTCCACAATCCCCACCGCCTGGCACTGTGTCCTTGTGCCACCTCTCCGTAACCCAGCCCACGCCCTGCCCAGCCTGGCCCTCAGGTGGGCTGGACGCAGCCTCTCCGTGAAATGTGACTGTCAATCACACATTGCTACTTCCTGAGACAATGTAACCTAGAAGACAGCTACAGCGGCTCAGCCAGCTCCACACCCTGGGGGAGTGGGCAGAGTCGTGATTACCCAAAACGGAGGGCAGCGGGAAGGGATCAAACTCAAGGGGTGACACCGCTGAGACCCCTGTGAAGCTAGTAACCGGGATCGCTGATGGGCAACCCTCTGGGCTGCAGCCAGAGCAGGCCCAAGCCCCTGTCCGGCTCCTGCCACCCTGGCCACCTGCTTCCCTCCAGGAGCCACCGCCCGGCCTGGGATCCAGGCTCTAGGCGGGGACTTGATCTCTCATACGGGTGGCCACTTCTCCCTCCAGCCCCGCTCCCAGCCGGAAGCCACGCTCGTCCTCTGCCTAAGATCTTAGCCTTTGCCGGGCAAAAGCCTCCTTAGGCAAGACTTTCAGCACAGCGCATTCAAAGTCTCAGAAGCCATTTGGAAAACCATTCTCTGTGCCACACAACTTCCCCCAAAGTTTACAAACGTGATCTGCACCTCTTCTGACCGTGGTTCAACTGCTGTCCGGCCTCTCCTCGGCACCCAGGGTACGCTGCCCGGGTCGGCCGGCCGGGGGCAGGTGTCTGGTTACTGGCCGGCCGGTCACCTGACCCAGGGGTGGCCGTTCTCCCAGCCACCGGTCTGCACGCCGGTCACACCCGAATGCCGGGCACCGTCCCCAGGCCCGGGCAGTGCCACCTGCAGCCCTCCTGCGCCCTCCCGGGGCTGAGCAAGCAGAAAGTGGGGCTGCCCGCGGCCGCCTGCCTGTTCCGGCCCGGCGCCTCCACGTCAAGCGGGGTGACTCGCAGGCCCCGGGGCCTGGAGAGGCCGCGCCAAGCCCATCGGGAGCCCCCGGGCTCGCCC